CCACCTTATTAATAAGTTTACTGCTGTTGTAGCCATTTCATTTGTATCTCATGTATGAACTTTGCTATTTAAAATACAAAACTCCTCTTTGATATGGTCATTTGGAAAAGCCAAGTCTAAAACCTGAAAACTGGGTGTCGCAGTTGTTTTCACGTGAGTAGACATCAAAACAAAGGGAGCGTAATCTCACTATGAACTGACAGTAATAATGCAGTACAAAAACAAAAAAGTTGGCATCACCTTATATTTTCAGCAAGATAAAGAACTATGTTATTCCATGAACCATTTTTTAATATCATTTAGATAAAAACTTGTTCTCTTTGAGGAAATCTAGCAGTCCAGCATCTGGACCACAGAAAGGGACAGAGATGGCCTTTAAGACTATGTGTCAGACAATACAGATAATGGGATCATTGACCTGTCGGGCCACTGAAATAAAATGAAAAAAATCACAAAAGCTGAAAGATCTATACTAAATATTTGCTTTTTCCCAATCTGCTTGAAGATGAGCATTTTAAATTCATGCCAAGATAATAAATCACTTCACATAAGCTCATTGTTTTCCCAAGTGAAAAACAGTTTATAGGGAAATTCCGTTGTATTGGAAGACAATTGATATTTATGCCATTTTCAAAACCAGTTTTTATTCCAGGTCTGCTCCTTCAAGCTTTAATTTTATTTACTGCAGCTAGGACTCTGAAAGAGTTCTTCTTTGGTATTAATTTTCATAATCTCTTATAAGAGTAAGAAATGTTCAAGTAATGTCCAAGGAGGCTGGGGATTAATTGGGAAGAAGAATCCAAATCTTTTGCCTACTTAACATGAGAAGTAGCCATGTATTATCTGATGGAACATTTGGATTCAGGAGCACATCTAGCACATGCCTGGTCATAAGCACATGCCATCATCTCATTGTTTTTTCAAAATTTAAACCTAAAGCTGCAGGATTTTGATGAAGAACGTTGGAATTAGCCACATGGTGGTAAATTCATTGCCGTTAGAGCCTGGTCGGTGATATTCAGCCTGAGAAACCAATCACTCGGCCAACGAACCTTGCACCGTATTCTAGCAAGGGTGTTCACACACTGATACGATTTTCATGAGCAAAATGCAGGTAGCTCCATAAATCAGCGTAGAAGTCCTAATGTCGTGTGGCATTATTTATATTACATAATTTAATGCAATGCATGCTAGAGGTCTTAACCTTCGGAGACATTTTAGTATTAAGAGGCAGAAAGTGCCTCTACCAAGCTTTGTGGCACTACGTTGGACACCGAGTAGAAGAGATCTGGGACGTGATCCTCTATTAATATAAACTGTCATTACTGCATTGACTACATCAGCTGAGAGCACGGCTAGATACCAAAAGCATTCCGAAGAGCTCTTTTTTGTGGATGTGTTTGTTGATCTAAACATGATCCTGCAAGAATTAGAACGTTTCAGCTCTGGGTTGTGGATGTACTGAAGAGTTCTTCAGTGGTTAACGCTATGAAATGTGCCCATACTCACCTACATTTCCTATTTCACATGCTGGGATCATTCTACTGACTGGTGTTTTTTAGGGTTATTTTGGATTGTTTTGAAGAAATTCTACTCAGAAAAAAGGTCAGGATATACACCTCTCATAATTCCGCTCCACAGTATTATGCTGACGAGACACGGGCTTTCTCTGTTCAGTTCAGAGAAAGTTCAATTTCTTTAATTAGCTGTTCTCCCAGTTTACTCGACTGTAACGCCGCGTGTGTGAATTTTCACACCAGACTACACTTGAACTTCATAGGTCAGATATGATTTTTAATTATGTTACAGGTAAACGACTGAGTTCAGAGCCTCTTTTAGGGGGATTACAGTCTGTTTCTAAGGCTGGGAACGGATGTAATTTTAGGAATGAACCGCATTGCACGCTGACTCACATCCCTTCTCATCCACTGAGTTCAATGGGACCATTAGGGTCAGTAAAGCAAAATTTGGCCTACCATTTCGGCTGTCTCGGTACAACTTTCTTTTGTGTCCTCTACATAATTAATTGCGAGACCTCAGAGAAAATGTTGTCCCATTCACTGTAAAATAGGAGGGTCCACGGAGGGAAATAGTTGCGTTAGAGAAACACACAAACGACATTAAGGCTACCTAGTTTGATGTTTTCAAACCTTTTTCTTTTCCTCTGCAAACAATGACAGTTTCAATAGGATCTGAAGCGATACTCTTTACAAATAATACACTAGTCTGTCATATGGTTAATATTAACGTCTCTCTATTCAAACATGCTGAAAACTGAATAGAACAGTTAACATATAACAGTCACACATCCTTTGCTGAGTACAAGATCGCATCTCTAACATGAACTGAAGATATCCTCACCATTTCAGATCTTCATCTGTCATTCAGTCAAACATTTCATTCTCTTAAATACATCGCTCTTCCCCTCTTTCTGGGTCTTTCGGGGGTGCTGAGTGAACACATTCTCTCCATAAAGGCATTGCTTATGATATGGTTCTTTCTTCAACAGGAATCTTGCCGTGTGTTTCCAATACGTTGCCAAAGGTGAATTTGCAGTTTGGTAGGATTTGGGGGCAAGGCGGCCTTACATCTGGATTGAAAAGGATTAATTTTGAAACATCTATTTGGGCAGGATTCTGCACTTTATTCCAGAGAGACCATCTCTCGACGAAATTAATGGTGAGCAATTAATTAATCGTGATCACGCTTCTCAAATTATTGAATCAGAGCTTTAAATAGTAGCCATTTTTTTATATTACAGGTATGTTCACAAGGCTTACGGGCAGGCGCAAGCTCGCTTTGCTCTTGTCCTGAGCTGGCGGGATGTAAACGGTGTCGACAGAGAAGTCACACGACTGCAGGGATGCGAAGCTGAGCCCCACCTAATACGCCTCGTCTTTCAGAGGGTTGGTTTGGTGTGGGCTTGGGGGCCATACCCACCGCCGTCAGCTCAGCTCACGCACAGTGAGATTGTGCCCAGCCACACCATACTGTAGAAACACGTCAGGGTGAGCCCACTCCTCAGGGTGACCGCACCCTTACTGCTACAACAAAAGCTCTGTGTCTTTGAAGAAGGGAGTCCGAACGAGGCATGCTCCATCCTGGGGCATAAAGCATAGTTTGCCCTCAAATATATTTTTATTGAAAACACACAGCAAAGATTACAGCCATAGAAAGTTCTGTAAACAAGACAATTTCATCAACTTTATCTTAAAAAAAAAACCTAAAACCGCAAAAGAAACCCAAAATAAGACTTGCTGAATGAAGACTGTGAATAGTAATTTTTTTTTACTGCCTTAACAAAAAAAAATGACATACACCTTCAGCGTTTCTTTTCCAAATTTACTTGACAGAGGTTAAAATATTGCTTTATTCTGACTCAACATACAACAGCACTGCGTGATCGATTGTGCTATTTTGGGAAGTCTTGAGACTTGTGAACTGGAAAGTCTGGGGCACATTAATAAATTTAACAATTAATTTGCTGCAAAGGAATATTTTAATACATTCTGTATATACTGTAATTTTTTTTTTTTAATCAATCTTCTCACATTAACCAGGGAAGGCTATTTAGCAATTATTTATTATAGTTCATTTTCTTTTTCCCCACAAATAAGCAGATATTTTAATACCAATAAAAACAGTAACGTTGTGTCACTGAACCCAATTCACTGCATTATTGGCATATTGCGTTACGATTTATGGGGGGAAGAGGGCCTCAAAAAAAAGCAAATGCAAAAAATGCTTAAAATGTGATTGGGATACGGCAACCAGGAAATGACATTTCTTCTCTAAGGCCTTGATCCCTTGCAGGGAGTCATTTGGTGGAAACCGTCTGCTCTTACATAGCCCCATTAGAAACAGATCTGTGCATGCTTGTGGGTCTGCCCATACTGAACCATCTGCAGGGTTGAAGCTTTAAAGTTCACAAGCCTAAGCCACGATTAATTAAAAGTGACTGGAGAACTGAAGGTGGGAACAAAGTAGGGCAGCGTGGACACTTATCGGCTGGATTTTGATCATATTGGATCTCCCCGACTCTTCTCTGAACAACCCATAATAAAAAAAAAGTTTAAAAAAATACACACGCACTCAGAAGTGCTCCTTGAGAGCTCACAAATGCCTTCAAAGTATAGTTTAGAAATGTTGAGGGGTCGGTAACAAACAACAGAGTTTATGTTCCCACTCAAAAAAACCCAAACCAAAACCCAAAACCAAACCTGTCGTAATACACACTTTTGCACTTTCTCTTGGTCTTCCTCGCTCTCCACCAAGGCAGCTCTGATAGGCCAAGCTCAGAAGATGGAGCAGCCACGGGCTCCTGACCGCTGCTTCTCTGCACACCCCAATCCCACTCCACACTTGGCCAAACCCAAAGCTCCTAAATGTTTCCATTGACTTTCTTGGGCTGACTGACACGTTGAAGCAAGGTCGAGAATTAAGCATCTGGCTCAATTTAGGGATTTGTTGTCATTCACAGTAGGTACCAGACCTCAGAAGTAGACGTCTGCGTGCCTGTTTCCACGGTATGAACCTGGAACCAAGAGGAGAGGGGGAGAGGGGACCGTGTCCGTGCTGGGCTGAGGGGACTTGTTCCCCAGGGTCTGAACCCCTGGCCAGCAGCTCACTGCAGCGCTGCCCTGAAACCAGAAATGAATCTAAGAATGGTCTTGGCCTTTGCTGAAAACAAGATGCATAGCCTAAGCCTTCGGACAGCCGAACGGGACCATGGTACAATGCTCTGTAACTGAAACTGTATGTGTAATCCTGCCTAGAAAGCACCTGATGTACGCGCCATCCCTCCTGGAACTTTTCCCTTAAAAAAATATTTTGTTAAAAAACACTATGATATGAGGGCGATTGACTATTTGGTTTCTTCTAAGTAGATGCTCTTAAATTAATGCATATAAATAATTTGTATTTAATCTCCTCCCTTCCTGTTTAGCAAAGCATCGAATGCACAGATCTCTTGTTTCCCCTCCCACAACCCCCACACAAAGTCACTTGGTCAATACCGAGTCTCTTTGCGTTTCGCTTTTTAAGACAAATTGTGCCTCTCGCTCTGACTTGGCCGTGGGGCTCATGGGCAGAAAGGCCGTGTTTTCGCTCGCGCTGCTCTCTGCTTCTACGCTCGCCAGTTCATAGTCCTCCGACCTCCTCGCGTCCGTCAGAATCCGAATCTGCTCCTGCACAGTTTCTAGCAATATTTTCACTTCGTGTTGTTCTGCTATAAGACAATTACTGACTGGGGAACTCACATTGACAAGTTCAGCTGAATAGGAGTTTTTGCACCATTTGATGCCTGTTACTTCAGAAACATTTTGCATTTGCATGCAGGCTTCGTCCAAGCCCACAGACGGGATGATGGGAACGGAGTTGGCCCTTGAAGATGAATAGCCGACCAAGTCCTTCTGATCCACGTTATTAAAATAAGGGGTTGTCTCTCTTGAAGGCAGTTGCATATTTATTGAAGTATTCCGAGGAGTTTTTAAACCACTGGATGAATACCTGGA